TCCCTGACTTGCTTGTTTTTTTTTCTCCAGTAGTTCTTCTGTAATAGCCCTCTCTGCAATTATAAGATCTTTTACTTCCTCTTTAATATCCAAAGCATTCTTTTTTAGAGCTTCTTGTAAGTCTTTAAGAGAAATTGCAGGAGGAGGGGAGGGTGGGGGTGATTTTGGTTTCTGAGAAACAGGCTGAGACATTGGAGAGGAGATGGAAGCTTTAGGAGCAGGGAGCAAACGTTTTGAAGCCATTCTCTTAAATACAAAAGAACAAAATTCTTGCCTATAAAATCACAGTTCTTTAAATAGTAACAAAAAAAAGAAAGAAAGAAAAAGAGAAAGAGAAAAAAGAAACCAAGTTCTTGCCTCTATATTTAAAACATTGATCTATGTCCAACTTTTAACTTTGTTGCTAAATCAAACAAGAAAGACGGTCACCATTTTGCCTTTCACTTTCCCTTTCTTCAAAAGGGAAAGTAAACAATAAAAAGAGGAGAAGATACTTGCTGGAGTTAAAGTCACAATCAATCTTAAACGCAGTTTCTCCTTGTCTGCTCCATCTGCATTTAAGTACTCACAAGCCTCCCAAAAAAGCAGATGTGGGAGCGGCGCCTTGCTTCATCCTAAAGCTTCGGGACAAAGACGTCCTGGAGTGCGGAGATGGCTCAGACTCTGAGGGAGCTCTACCCTCCAATCCCTGAAATTATGGGGATCCAGGGGAGCTCTTACCTCTACCTGAGCAGCATTTCTCCTCTCTTTCTCCCAGAGAGGAGATTCAAACCGCAGGACAGCTGATTGTAAAAATCCTGCGGCTTTTACACAACCCAGGATCAAGCAGCCATCGTAGCTGCTTGATCCACAGGAAGTCCTCTTTTTTCTATTTCTTTTTAAATTTGGTTTTAGAAATTAGTTTTTCTTTTTTATTTGACTTCCCTGCATAGTTAGACATTTTGCAATAATAATTATAACAGGGCTGCAAGCGTAAGTGTTGTATATATATATATATATATATATATATATATATATATATATATATATATACGTAGGTCTTTGGTTGTTCGGGTTTTCTCCTGCGTAAAATTGGAAGTGTCTTGGCGACGTTTCGATGAAGTCCCATTCGTCATCTTCAGGCTGGTGTTTTCAGCTTCGTGCTTCGAGCAGCAATGTGTGGTCTTAGCTGTTTCTTCCTTTTAACTGCCAGTGGGGGTATGAACTGATTGGGTGGGAGCTTGGCTGTGTTCTGATTGGGTGGAGGTGTGTTCTGATTGGTTAGGGGGTTGGCTGTGCTCTGATTGGCTGGGGGGTTGGCTGTGCTCTGATTGGCTGGGGGGTTGGCTGTGCTCTGATTGGCTGGGGGAGTGTTCTGTTTGGTTGTGCTCAGGTTAGTCTGAGTTGCAGAGGGGTTTGAGATTTTGGGCTGCCTGGCTATTTTTTGGCTTCGCGTTCGTGGTCGTGCTTCCTCTTCATGGAGGGTGTCAGTTTGCTTCATGTATGGATTGGGGGGGTTTAAAGTGGCTAATGATGCAGCTGTGGTCTGGCTTCTGGGTTGTGGTCGTGCCTCATCATCAGTGTGGCTTTGGGTTTGTTTTTTGCGTGGATGTGTGGTGGTGACATCCTGTGTGGTTTTTGTGAGTGTGGGTCTGGTATCATTTTTTGTGTTAGGGAGTCGTTTGTCAATAAGGGCGGGTTTCCAAATGGCTGGTAGGCGGGAGGTATCATCTCGCTTGTTCATGCTGTGTGGGTGTTTTTCTATCTCGATGGCTTCTCTGATTATTCTGTTATTAAAATGTTCACTTTTGGCAATGGTTCTGGTATTTTTAAAGTCAATTTCATGTCCTGTGGCTTTAAGGTGTTGGACCAGGGAAGATGTTGGTTCCTCTTTTTTGACTGAGTTCTTATGTTCTTCAATGCGTGCACTTATTCTTCTGTTGGTTTGTCCGATGTATGTGTTGGAACAAGCAGTGCATGGGATTTCATATACTCCTTGATTTTCTAACTCAATTTTATCCGGGGTTTCTTAGGATGGTGGATATTTTTCTGTTTGTACAGAATGCTGTTTGATGTTGTGTTTATGGAGGATCTTGCAGATTATGTCTGTGGTGCCTTTTATGTATGGGAGGAGGGCTTTGCCGTTTTCTTGTTCTCTGTCTTGGATTTTAGTGGGGGTTTCTTTTTGGATTAGGTTTGTAATCTTATTTCTTTGGAATCCATTGGATGTTAGTATATTGGTGAGAGTGTGTAGTTCGTTTTTTAGGTGTTGTTCGTCAGCTAAGCGTTTTGTTCTGGAGATGAGTGTCTTGGCTACGGAGTTGATCTGTGCTGGGTGGTGGTGTGAGAGAGCGTGCAGATAGCGATTTGTGTATGTTTTCTTCTGGTAGATGGTGTGTCCTAGGCAGCCATTGGATTTCTTGTAGACTAAGACATCCAGGAAGGGAAGTTGGTTATTAGCTTCTGTTTCCATGGTGAACTGTATTTTGGGGTGTAGGCTATTGAGGTGTATGAGGAAGTTGTCCAGTTTTTCTTTCCCATGTGGCCAGATTATGAAGGTGTCCTCTACGTATCTGAGCCAGAGTTTGGGTTTGTGATCCGATTTTTCTAGAGCTTGGGTTTCAAAGTGTTCCATGTAGAGGTTTGCAATGACAGGTGAGAGGGGTAATCCCATGGGTGCTCCTTCTGTTTGTTTGTATTTTTGTCCGTTATAGATGAAGTATATGTTGGATAGGCAGTGGTTGGTCAGTTCTAAGATGTGTTTGGGGGGGTTATATTTGTTTTGGATAGCTGTCAAGGCTTCTTTGATAGGCACTTGGGTGAAGAGGGATATGACATCGAAGCTCACGAGTAGGTCGCTGGGCTGTAAGTTTTGTTTCTTTATGATCTCTATAAACTGGAATGAGTTTTTTATGTGTGAGGTGATGGATTCTGCATAGGGCTGTAGTTGTTTGGTGAGAAATTTGGCTAGGTTTTGTAGAGGTGAGCCTATGGAGCTGACTATGGGTCTGAGTGGGGTTCCTTCTTTGTGTATCTTGGGGAGACCATAAAGTTTGCGGCATCTGGATGATTTCTCTCTGGGAATGTTTCTTTGCTGGATCTCTTCGCTAATGGGGGAGGCTTTTATTTTGGATCTGGTGGTTTTTTCCATGTAGGTGGTGGGATCTGTGTTTAGGGGTTTGTATATGGAGTCTTGGAGTAGATTGGTTAATTTGGTTTGGTAGTCAGATGTGTTCATAATCACCGGGGCATTGCCCTTGTCTGCTGGTAGGATTATTATGCTGGTGTCTTCTTTCAGGTTACGTAGAGGAACAGACAGCACTACGTAACCTGAAATAGTTGAGAAATTGCTTACAGAAATTCGCTGACACTTCAGAATCTAGAATGTGCATTTTGAATTTATATTTTCTTCATCTCACCATATATATATATATATATATATATATATATATATATATATATACCAATGATATTTTATGATGCTTTACATATATATCAGAAATCTCTCTTCTTAGGATTCCACCTGCTTACTGGAAACATTGGAGTAAATTAGATTTTATGATAGAAAAGGGCCAGAAAAGTATAAGGACTTTGAGGTTATTATCTGACTCCTTTTTTTTTCAAACTTGGCATAAGGATTTCAAGAACTTTCTCAACTAGTAAATTTGAACTTGCCTCCTGTTTTGATGCAGATATTAGATGATCCAGTTAGGTGGCCCAGAGCACCTTTCAATATTTGGGATGAGGTAAATATGAAGTATCTAAAGATATAAATGATGCCAAGGCTGATTATATTTTGAAATGTCTTCCCATGTTCATTTCCTCAGCTTCTTGTCAAGACTAAAAAAGTAAGACAGGCAACAACAATGAAATATCTGCCTATCTTACCTCCCTGCACTTTTCTACCTATTAGGAGGTCTCTAGTTATTTTTGCGATTCTTGACTCTGGGTTATCCAGCATCTTGCAGTTTAGAAACTAATAAAGGCCCATACCCCTGTTGAAAATGTGAAGTCCACAGTAGTCCTTGTTAGAGAATATACTCCTAATCATAAACAGAGGGCTGAAAGAACACTGAACAATCCCATTAACAGAATAGAAGATGCTTATTGCACGACAGTCTTGGATGTGAAGTTTGAGTTTAGTCCATGTATCAATTAATGCCAAGTCATTAATTATCTTTGCCATAAAAGATAGACTTAAGAAATGGGTGGGAATAGAATATCAGAGCTTACAGCTTAAAGAAATGGCCTGTTTGGGATAATTAACTAGTTAAGACTGGCTAGAAATCGAGAGACTGTTCTAGTCCCATCTTATGCACAAAACCAAGGAGGTGACTTTGGGTCAGTCACCTCTTTCAAATCTAAGAAGGAATTGTCAAACCTTTCTGGAAACTGCTGTCCAAAAAACTGCAAGGTTCAGTTGGCTGGTATTTTTGTTTTATTTACTTTACATCTGGAAGAAAGTGAAGACTTGATGTGGAGGAAGAGTTGGAAAAGTTCCTTCACCTCTTAAACTCAAGATACCCATTGAGTTAACAATAGGCCAGATGAAAAGTATGTGAAAACCCATCCCCATATTTCTCTCTCACCATTTGCCCTAGTTGTCAAACAGGCTTCTACTATAAGTGTGGGTGCCAGATATCTGAAGAGGCAAAGGAGGACACAGACAATTGGGTAGGAGGAAAAATAAAGAGGAAAAGGAAGACATAATATTTATTTAATTTTCTTGACATTTGTGACAAGAATTATGTACAAAACTGCAAAAAGATATACCTAAGCCTATGTGTATATGAAATTATGTTTTCCACCATCAGAAAGTCTTGGTTTTTTTCAATTACAGGAATGTGCTAGAGTTTAGATACCTAATGCAGAAGTTTGTGTTGCTAATTATGATATTGTGATCATGCTTTAACTGAGATGTTGTTTATGTATTCTATAATTTTATTGTATATGTTTTGTAAGCCACTTACAATCATTTCACTGAACTGGCATAAAAGCATTTAAAATAAGTGAGATAAACAAACAAACAAACAAATATTTTATTGATCTATCATAGAAGTAACAATTTCTTTTTTCAAATAAATCCTTATATTCTGCAAATTGTCAACACTGCATTATCCTTTATAATATTGAGAAACACTCTGGACTATAATACTAGCACAATTTTGACATGGAACTGGCATGTTGTTAGTGTATTTCATTCTGAGCAATTCCTGTATAGCATAGAAACAGGTAAGACTGGAGATTTCATTTCTATAGGTTACAGAGACCAGTGGGGTATAATAATATTAACATTCAGATAATGTTGAACTATGAAAACCTGGAGACAAAGGAATATCAGAGGCAATGCTAGAATCTGCACTTCATTATCAGCTGTAGTTGTTTCTCTATCACCAATATAGAATGCTATTCTGGCAGGATGTAAATTTTTAAAAATTGCATCAGACTTTGTGATTGTCCTTTATATACACAAAAAGAGATTGCTACAAAGGTTAACTGTTGTTGCTGTACTTGAACATACTTTTGAGAGGGACTATAATGACTAGTTCTACTTTCCCAGATATCACTAATATGAACTTAATGTTGTCTGGTGACCACAGCTTCAGCCTCTGTGGAAACAGATAATAATAATAATAATGATGATAATAATAATAATAATAATAGTAGTAGTAGTAGTAGTAGTAGTAGTAGTAGTAGTAGTAGCAGCAGCAGCAGTAAAGTTAGAAGGGACCTTGGAGGTCATCTAGTCCAACCCCCTGCTCAGGCAGGAAACCCTAAACCATTTTGGACAAATGGCTGTCCACAACTGTTCTCCACCATTAGACTGTCTTCCTAAACATTCTCCAAAATGCCTCCTTCACTTCTTTGTTCCTCAGGCTGTAAATGAGAGGATTCAGCATGGGAATTACCACTGTGTAGAACAAAGATGCCACTTTGTCTTGTTCCAAGAAATATGTGGAGCTGGGCCGTAAATACATAAAGAAGATCGTCCCATAGAATAAGCTGACAACAATCAGGTGAGAAGAACAGGTAGAAAAGGCCTTGCGTCTGCTCTGTGTAGAACGGATCTTTAAAATGGTGATTAAGATAGAGGCATAGGAGAACAAAATAGTTACTGTAGTGCTTACACCGTTTATACTCACTTGTGCAAATATTACAGTCTCATTGATGTGAGTATCAGAGCAAGAAAGCTTCAAGAGTGGGGGGATATCACAATAGTAATGATTGATCACGTTTGATCCACAAAAGGATAAAGAAAAACTGAGTGTGGTGTGTAAAACTGCATAGAAAATGCCAAGGAAATATGAAATAACTGCCAACCAGACACAGATTTTTCCTGACATGATCACTGAATAACGCAGAGGGTGACAAATAGCCACATACCGATCAAAGGCCATCACAGCCAGAAGAAGACATTCAGTGCTTCCACATATAACAAACACAAACATTTGAGTGGCGCATGCAAAGAATCCAATATTTTTCCTTTCTGTTAAGAGAAACACCAACATATTGGGTATAATGCTTGAAGAATAGTTGACATCTACAAATGCCAAATTACCGAGAAAAAAATACATGGGAATGTGGAGTCGAGAATCTGTTTTGATTAGGAAGATCATTCCTAGATTCCCCATCAGGGTAATAATATATATCAGTAGAAACAACACAAAGAGAGGCAATTGTAGCTCCTTTTGATCTGTGATGCCCAGGAGAATGAAGTTGGAGACCCGTGTGTGATTCCACATAGAAATGTCTTCTTTGTACATTAATTGTTGGGAGAAAAAAATGCAATTAGACAAAGATTGGAATTTACTACTTGTAACTAAAACATTGGGACTGATAAAATTTCTGCCTTTCCCATAGAGTGTGTGCATTATTTAAATGAGACTACATTATTTTGAAATCTGTAGGGTATGTGATTTTTTTCCTTCAAATTTCAATGTAACCTAATGCAAGTTTATATATCTTCTAGCCTTGGATACAGTGCCATCACTTAAACATGTGGTGGTGTAAAGATGTGTTAAGACAGAGAAAAAATGTATAAGAGACGAGTTTAACTCAATCTCTAAGGCTATGCCCTCCTTTCAAATCAAGAAGACTCATTGTTCCTTTTAATAACACTAAATTAGAGCACAATATCCAGCTTGAGATCTCATAAATATCATCAGGATGAGATACTACATGCTAGAGTATGGTCTTCCTTACTATTCTACTATGATTTACTTCTATTCTCTACCTTTTCCTGCTCACTATAAATACAGATTTTCATAATCTTTGCTGTGTAACACTTCGCTATGCCCCAGCAGATGGCCAGGAAAACATAGTTTTCTGTCTCCTTCTTGAGTCTCACATTGCATTTGTCCCTGAAAGCATTCTATCACATTTAGTTGCCATTTGGAAGGTGACTTGCGAGGGATCAGTTTAAGTACACAATTACCATTGGTTGATAACATTGTCTTGGTGCTCTGGCAAGTTAATTCAGACAAGCTGTTTATCAGGACAGGGACACCATGGTTAATAATCAGCGGATAGTTGGAAAAACCTTTTATCTTCATTTATTCTGAGGGTAGCCAATGACAGAGCAGAATCTATTCTCTGTAAATAAACAGAAGGAGACATGTACTTACCCCCTATTTTCGAAAGAATACCAGAACTTTGGGTATGATGGTTTTTCCAAATATATTGACTGTTTGATAGGAACCAAGACTTCCTAAATTATTATCAGAAAGAATAGGAAGTTACTTTTTCCAATACTTATCTTTAATAGGATTTTCCCCCCTGAATTTCTTCTATTGCTTCCAGTGGGAGAAGAAATAATTATAATTTCAATGCATCCATTTCTGTGTTCTGAGGGACCCACACAGGTAATCTGTAAGCTAGAGCTTCTAGCCAAAATTTCCAAGACCTCTTTCTGTTAACACTGTTCTCAGAATATACAGCTTACTTGGGAATGAAATAGTGACAGCATTGCAGAGATTGCTGAGTGGATAAGGGCTCCATTTATTTAAACTCTGATTTAAAATTTCCCTGAAGGTTCTCATTCTCTTGTGACATTTGTTTTTATGCTTGTTGATGCAGAGCGGAATAATGAAAATGGGTGGGGGGGTGTCTGTGAGTAATTTATGTCTGTCTGTTGAACCCAATTAGAGACACTTTTGTCCTAAAGGTTTATATATTACAAAGTAGGACAACTGTGAAACATTGTTGATTCTATTTGAAAGTCACCTTTTTTGTCCCTTTGTCAAAAATAAAAAAATAGTTCAAATCACAACAGAAATCAACAAATCCAATGCTGTTTTCTTTTTCTAGTGTTGCATAATAATTTTTAGTTTGTCTACAGTACATTCTCAAAATGTACTTGAGGTCTTCATTGATGTAGACAAGATTTAGAGTTCTTGAGGTCTTCATTGACGTAGACAAGATTTAGACATGAAGAACCTGTGCATTTTTAATATACAGTCTACAAGTTATATTAACAGCTCTGTGAGTTAGTCCAAAATGTGGCCATTAATAGGACAAATCTGGACATGAGTTTATGTTTCGACTCTGAAATTACATCTCCCCCACCAAGGCAATTGCAACCAATCCTTACTGAACTCTTTTGAAGCATCTAAAGGGCATGAAGCAATGTCATTTTGTGTTATCAACCTCATTTTAAAATAAGAGATGTAGTTTATTTTACCTCAAACTGCTTATCAAGTTATGACATTTACGTTCAATATTGAAGAGGTCACGTAATACTGCCTAGTGTTCCAGGACAACTTCTCCCCATCTACTGCTGCCAAATAATAGCATCATTCTATGCTTCTGTGTTGTACAGCCCCAGTTGCACTTGCACTGTGCCACAATCTCCCACCAAGAATGCCACCTCTCTGTCCATTGTAAAATATCTGATGGGGAGTTGGCTAGCTACTACTTCTAAAAGGTCCTGCTTGGTCTTGATTGTCACTCGGAGTTTTGGCTGAAGTCATAATTGTGGCCTTTTTCTTAATGTAGGAGGAAAACATGCATAATTTCAGTAGTAAAATAGTAATAGTTTTCAGTATCTTAGACCAGTTAGCTTGGGGAATTCTGAGAGTTGAAGTCTACACATTGTAAAGTAGTCAAGGTTGAGAAACACTCTCTGAGTAAGTAGCCTTGCACCACTGGAATAATTTGCATGGCAAAAACTCTCTCTTTTATTGTTTCAAGACTTTGCTGATTCCTATTTCATACCCTACATTTGCTCTTCCTTGGCATTTGTTGAAAGATTTATAGTATAACAGACCGGTGATAGCTCATGAAGCTCAATTGCTTTGCTTTCTGTTTGTCTTCATCTCAGCTTTTCATGGGACATTAAGGCATCAATACTTGTACCATCAACCTAGAATAATATGGTAGATAATCACTTGAATAGTTGAGAAATTGCTTACAGAAATTCACTGACACTTGAGAATCTAGAATGTGCATTTTGAATTTATATTTTCTTCATCTCACCATCATTATAGATCTATTATTTACAAGCTCAGCTCCTCTCCCTGAGGAGTCAAGTCTCAGAAGGAAAATCTCTGAGGAGCAGAAGATCTTGAGAAACCTCTGAAAGCAGATTATTAGAGAGGCAAAGGCACTCATACCTAGGCAGATACCTGATGAGGACAAGCATCTGCAAACAATAGATGGAAGAGAATGTGCAGACACAGGTAGGCTGGGAAAAACACCAAGCTAAAAAGTGCCTCTTAGTCCTTTGCAATCACATTTAGATGGGGAGAATCTCAGCGTAAATAATGTGCATTTGTCTGGGAATAACCTAGTAATTCATTGGTTTGTTTGTTTGTTTGTTTTTTAGACATCAGTCTCAAACTGGAATAGCTCACAAATTCTCCAAGACTTGCCTTCTGGAAAACAAAGTTTTTTCAAGTTTTTTTTTTTTTTTAAAAAAAATAATAATCAAGAAAATGTTCACTATGTATTGAAATGGATTTTTTTAAAAAAAAAAATAGTACTGAAACTTTTTTAACATGCATTTCTGAACATTTATTTTTCCTCAGAAAAAAATCCATTTCTCAATGCCCTTTTTCTTAAAATACAATTTTCTAAATCTCTTTTGCTCCATCAAAATTTCAAAAAAGGTATAATGCAAAATGTGGAGAAATCAACATCCAAAATCAGTTACATCCCAATGTGTATCTCATTTTCAAAACACAAGCCAGGACAGTTCATAATATCAGTATATATCCTTTATAAAAAGTCTTTGACTATTATAAAAAGTCAAACAAGGGTTAAAACTGATTTAAAAATAGGTTAAAATGGGTTAAAAGTAGGTTAAATGCAATGTTAAAAAGGGTTAAAAAGTTAAAATAAAAATAAAATAAAGCTTTTACTTTTGGAGGAGCTCTTTACAGCCTTTGCTGCCTGTCCACCATCTTGGCTCCTCCCCCTTGAGAGTGATCTGTTTCAATGAGATAATTGCCAATACTTCTTTCTAACAGCAGTGAGTTTCAGATAGTGCTAAGTGAGTCAGTTCATAATATCAAGATGAAATACCCTGAGTAGCCTTCATTACATATAGCTAAGTTCTATATCAAATTCTGCTGACTAAGCAACTTTCAATGAGATGTTAAATGGATGAGGTTCAAATTGAAGGTGAAAATCTCATAGGTATCAATTGTTTGTGTGGCCTTGCTTTCTTAGAAGATCTTCTGAAAAGCCATATGATGAAATAAAAATCTTGCATGTGGCTTATAATTTTTCTAAATATGTGCCTTTTTTCTGTACAGAAACAAGCAACCTGAGAGAAACGATCAAGATTCTATAATGTGTATGTAAAACTTTATCAGACAGCTAGTTGAGTCTTGAGCCCAATTCTGGACTTTTTAGTACATCTGATATAAGCGTGGTTTAGCTTTCCTGGTCCATCTTATTGTGTATGTGTTGATGTTTGCTTGCTAAGATAAAGTGCCAATGTTCATCATGGATTGATAGATGGAACCTAACATTTTTCCAGCTATTCAAACAGGAAACATAGCTTATTGCACATAAGCTATTTTCCTGATATTGCTGTGGCATCCAAGTGCTTTATGAAATATAATGCGCTTTTATAATGGGAACAAATATTCATGGTATGGCTCTAAAATCATTTCAGATGGTGCAGATAAAATGATATTAGGATATCTGTATCAGTAGAATAAATGAGGTAGAACAAAAAAAAATTATCATCTCTGAGTATGAGAGTCATCTGAACTGACTGAACATTAAAGAAGAAAGTGTGTTCCTTCTGAACCCATTTCCTGAGCAGAACTTAATTGAAGTGATGGAATAAATGGCAGATATCAATTCAACTGTGAGTACAGTGAAGGAATTTGTTTTATTTGGAATCACCGATCATCCTGAGCTGCAGATGCCCCTCTTCGCCATCTTCCTTTTGAATTACAGCATCACTCTAATGGGAAATCTGGGCATAATCATTTTGATTCAGACTGACAGACAGCTACATACCCCTATGTATTTCTTCCTCACCCACTTGGCATTTGTTGATCTCTGCTATTCCTCTGTTATTGCCCCCAAAATGCTGGCAAACCTGTTAGCAGTTAAGAAAACCATTTCATTCCATGCTTGTGCAGCCCAGCTGGGCTCTTTCTTGACTTTCATGATCACAGAGTGCTTCCTGCTGGCAGTGATGGCATATGACCGCTACGTTGCCATCTGTAATCCGCTGCTTTATCGATCCATCATGTCCCAGAGAGTCTGCGTCCAGTTAGTAGCTGCACCTTACATATATAGCTTTTTCGTTGCCCTGTTCCACACCATAGTTACATTCCAACTGTCATTCTGTTCTTCAAATGTGATTAACCATTTCTATTGTGATGATCTCCCACTCTTGGCCCTCTCCTGTTCTGATACCAGCACCAAACAAATACTGATCTATGTTTTTGCTGGCTTTAATATGATATTTTCCCTTCTTATTGTTCTTATCTCTTATGTGTTTATTCTGTCTGCCATCCTAAGAATCAGCTCTGCTCAAGGACGACACAAAGCTTTCTCTACCTGTGTTTCTCACTTGACAACTGTCACCATCTTCTATGGAACTTTGATCTTTATGTATTTGCAGCCAAGCACAAATCATTCCCTAGGTACCGATAAAATAGCTTCAGTTTTCTACACACTTGTGATTCCCGTGTTGAATCCTATGATCTACAGCCTGAGAAACAAGGAAGTGAAAGAGGCCCTGAAGAGAAGAAGAGAGAGAATTCTGGTTCTTTGTTAAAGAATGGTTACCTCCCCATTAGTAGTGGGATTCAGCTAGTTCACACCACTTCAGTAGAACCGGTAGCTAATATTTTGTTGCCAAGGCCCAGAATGGACTTCCAGAAGCAGCATCCACACAGAGAACCAGTTGTTCACATATTTGAATCCCACCACTACCCCCATCCATTCCATTCTAAGTATGGAATAAACGTTAGTTGTTGATTTGCAGCAGCCCATAGCCCAGGCTCTGATGTTAGGAAGACAGACGATTTCAAAGAGAGCATACCAGGGAATCAAATGCTAGCTGAGATGTTCATGTCAATCCATATTATTAATTCCCTCATCCTTTTCCTTTGAATGTTATTCTGTCTTTACCCATTCTTCAGCTAGGAATATGCAAATACCCACACATAACTATATGGTACATGATAAAGGTCTTCCAACTGGGTTTTAGCTTTCAAAAAAAATCACCTATATGATTATGTTACAAAGGCAAAAGCTGCTGTCATCTATTTGATATGTTTCTCATACTACCTACTGTTTTAAGACCTCTTCACTCCATATTTCTGCCTCAGTTTCTTTCATTAGAGTCACCTGTCTGTAATCACACCACTTTGGATTAAGCTTCCAGGGTGACTTGAATAGCCTGTACAATTAGCTCTGTATGTAGGTTCTTAGATAGGATATTAAACTGGTCAGTTCTTGGCGCTTCATTCCAAGCTTCAACCTGAGCACATAAATTTATCTGTATTCTGCATTACCATAAAAATAAATTGCCAAAATGGTCATACCTCACAGTTGCCAGGTCACTAACAACAGCACTCAATTTGACCATTAAATTAGCATAATTTTATATAATAGTGTGGTGTTGTGGTTTTCCTGGAGAGGATTGATGAAGACTGGTGAAGAAAAAGGAATTTTGCAAAGTAAAGAGTTCAGTTATAAACATTTATAATTTATAGAAGTAAATTATTTGTATCTAGATACCCTAAATCAGTGGTGGCGAACCTATGGCACGGGTGCCAGAGGCGGCACTCAGATCCCTCTCTATGGGCACGCACACCGTCGCCCCAGTCCTAGGCCTTCAGCTGGGTTTTATAAAACCTTTTCACTTTAGGCCTCTGCCGCCGTGTACAAAAAAAAAGGTTCAATCAATCAGTCAATTTCAACTTCTCACGGGGAAAAAAAGGATCTTGCAAAGTTGGAATTGATTGATTGAACTTTTTAGTCCCACCCAGTCTGCCATTACCACTGCAGCCATGTCTACCCAATGGGCCACACCCACCCAGCACTTGATGATGCATAATTGGGTTTTGGGTTGCAATTTGGGCACTCGGTCTCTAAAAGGTTCGCCATCACTGCCCTAAATGGTTATGATTGAGGTATTCAAGGTGTGCTAAAAGAGGTTAAGAAAATAGCAGAGGAACTGAATGCATTCTTTGCTTCTATCTTCATGGTTGAGGAATAGGACAGACATCATGGACAAACTGTCAAGTGAGAGATGAATTTATAATAATCATATAGGAGGAATTTATGAAAACCATATAGGAGGAATACATGGATCATTTTCATACTAGCAAGATGGATGCTCCAGAGTTTGGTGTTGGACTAAATGCTTTGAAGATGTTTGTAAATGATTAACAACTAGGTATAAACACCGAGATGGCCATGTTTCTTAACAATGTCAACCTATTTTTAGTGATAAAATTGAAATTGGAGTCAGCTTTGTTTTGGTCTGATCATCTGTCATTATATTAGCAGGTAAATCATCCATCCAGACATAAAGCAACTGGGAGCTTCTCTGTTTGTACAATTTGATATTGAAAAATGCTCTCTTCAATATGTTGATAGTCAATTTTGTCTTTCTATTTCAACTAATACCAAGAAGGTTGTGGAAGCTCTGAATTGTTGGATAAGTGCACAGATGTCCTGCATGGGGATTAGCAAATTAAGTGTTCCTCTGGCAAGATGGTTTATGAATCAGTAGATAAGGTAGTTCAATTCCTGGTCTAAAAGGTGTGGTCTGGGAAAACAGATTTGCAGTCTGGTATTGATGATGCTTTTAGCAATGTTTCTGTTGCAAAAATTGACTTTTATTCAGATTAAAATAGTGCCTTGATCTCTGTTTCTGTGTCCGTCCGTCCATCCATCCATCCATCCATCCATCCATCCATCCATCCATCCATCCATCCATCTATCTATCTATCTATCTATCTATCTATCTATCTATCTATCTATCTATCTATCTATCTATCTATCTATCTATCATCTGGCTTCATTCTATAAACTCTGTCCCCGTACTTTAAACATATTATCATAGGTGTAAGTTAAATATAAAAAAAAAATCTTAAAGACAAGATCTCAGCAGACTCTCATTTGCAGCAGCTCCTGCATACTACCATTCAATCAGTGCAAGGTTCTAAATTGAATACTGTGTTTTATTCAAAAATATAATAAGGAATACAGATTATTTTTTTCCAGGTACTGGAGGACCTGAGTGTGTAGAGGTATATCCTTATTGTAAGCTTTCTTAAACTGCTGCTCACTCTGTAAAGAAAGCTATATAGCATGTTGGGAGTGATGAGGAAAGAGCAAGAAATATAAGTTAATGCCAGAGTTCTGGAGAAAAAAAAATCATTGGAAATTACAAAAGGGAATCTGTTGGATCAACACAATCTTACCAAGTAGAAAGAGCAAGAACGAAGGGATCTTCACTTTAAAAGTGATCTAGGACAGTGATTCTTAACCTTTTTGAACGAATCGCCTCCTTGAGCCAATGAGGAAGTTGGAAAGGACACTGATCAGAGGATTTTAAAGATTAATATATAATTGAGACCAGAAGTTTTTCTTTTGGGATTGATGGACATACAGTTGGAAAAAAAGTAATGGAGCTTTGTTTTTATATATGATAACTGCAGCGAGATTATTGTGTGCACAAAGATGGAATCATTTAGCAATACCCACAATGGAGGATTGGTTGATAAAGATAATGGAGCTTGCTGAGATGGCTAAATTCTTTGATCGGAGAAAAGACAATATCTATGTTTATTGCTGATTAAAAACCATTTATGGATTTTTAGCATAAAACAAAAAAAAATTGAATTTATGATTTATGGCCTTGATGATTAGATAGGATAGATTATAGAAACTAAGAATCAACCGTCCTCCTTTAGGGAGGACAGTCCTCTTTTTGTGAGTTCTGTCCTCCCTCAAAAAGTGTCCTCCTACATATTCTCCTTTTCGATATTTAAAGACTAATCTGCAGGGCTTTTTTTTCTTCTCATAGAACGCTCAGAACGGCGTTACAGCACCTTTTTTGATGGTTTTTTTTTCAACTTTTGCATGAGCCGTGCTACTCCCCCTATTGGTTTTCAAAAGCCAATAGGAATTGCTGCTGAGCGTGCCAAAACACCCGACCGGCAAACTTTGCACATGTAAGTTGTCTGCAGCGAAGGCGAATTGGCAGGAACTTTGCACCCCTCCCTGCTACCCAACTACACCATCTCCTAGTTTGTCCTGAAGATACCTGGAGGAGACTGGAGTGGCGACACCACGGTAACTTTCTCTTGATCTTTGGCCCTGCTAGGGCAATAATGGCTGCAGGCGCAAGAGGCAGGGGCAGTGGGGCTGCTGCGGGCAGGGGTGTGAGGGGCGGCAGTGGCCGGCTGCCCCCCATGCTGTGGGAGCTACAGGGCTGCTCTACACGGGGCTGTGCAGGGTGGGTGATGATGCTGGCAGGGCAGCTGCAGGCGGGGTGACTGCAGGCGGGATGTGTTGACGGCGGGCTGCCCCCCGGGGCTGGAGCTGGCACAGCTGGTGATTTAGAAGCCATGGGACCCGCTCTACACGGCGGGGCAGCAGTGCTGGCGGGGAGGCTGCAGGTGGGGGTGCAGCATGTAAGCATAATTACAATATAAAATCTTATTGTTAGAAATGTTTTTTATTATGCATTTATCATATTATAGTGTATTCTGTATTATTGTTGCAATAAATAAAATGTTTCTTTTATTTACAATATTTTTTTCTTCAATTTATTTGTGTCCGCCTTTTCACTGTAAAAAAGTTGGTCACCTTATTTATACTATGTTAGTTTTGGTTATTTTAGCTGTTAACCTGAAAGAAATTACTTAAAGGGGTAGAACAACTTTAAATAACTATTATACAGCAAGTCATCTTGTTTTACAACAGTATGATATGGGGAGGTTAAAATGATTAGTTAGACTATGTACAATCCAGTTCCATTGATTTTTCCCAGAACTACTTCATTTAAAATATCCATTTTCTTCCCTTTCCATTTCCAGTCAGGGTCTTCCCCTTTGCCCTTGTTTTTCATTCTGTTTTCAATCCAGCACGTGTTCTGAATAGCTGTCAAGCATGGAGATTTTGCTTCTCTTTCCAAAACTATAGATAGTGTTGTATTAGGGTTAGGGTTGGTTTTGTATTAAATAGCAGGATGAATACAGCGCCATAAACTTAAGGGATAGCATCATGCCAATAATAGTCCAGAATTGTTTTTAAGCATTAACGAACAATCCTGTATATTTATTCAATTATATAATATAAATTTGCTCCAGGAGTATTTAATTCTGAGGCAGATCAGGTTGTACATTAAATACAATTGTTAAATTCTTTTTTTTAAAATATTTTTTTTATTTTTCCAAACTCTCCCCCATACATATATCATGATATTTATCAGATGTTAACATACATTCTTTTTACATTCGCATATAAGATACTTTTAATAAAATGAAATAAATACATACACATGACTTTTGGTGTTGCTCGACCATTTCCCCTTTCACTGTATCTACACTCCTTCTTCTCTACCTTCTTTCTCCCTTTCTTCTCTTCCCTACTTCCCTCTTCTTCCTCTCCTCTTCTCTTTCCTTCATCACTCTCCTCCCCTTTCTCCCCACTTCTCCTCTTCTCCTCCAACCTTCCTACTTCCTTCTCCCCTCCTTTACTCTTTTCTCTCTCCTCTCCTTTCTTCCCTCTCATCCCTCTTCAGATAAAATTCAGGGGTAATGTCCGAGCAATTCCTCTCTCCAAAATTCCCTATCTGTATTATATACAATAAGATTAATTTTCTCTTACATTAATACTTCTATTTATCAGGCTGCAGCATTATCATGGATGAGAGAATGGATCTTACTGAGGAATACAAGATTACTGACATTAGAGGGACATGATTTACAGTTGGGATGGCATGCTTTCATATCGTATGGAAAAAACAGAATACATAACTATTTCCAGAGACACCTTATAAGGAATTCTTTATTTGTGGTCTGGGAGAAAGTAAAGAGAAAGCATTATTTGAAGATTCCAAATTGGCTCTCAACTATGGAGGCGCTAATACACCCCAATATGTTTAACATGGGAAACATTATAAGATATAAAGACTTACTAGCAGATATGGGGGAGTTGAAAACCAAACAACAATTAGAAGAACAAGGAATAAAGATGGATTGGTACATGAGAACGCAAATACAATCTAGATATGAAAAAGATGTTAAAGTAGATGGTGTTAATTTGAGGACAACAGAGTTAGGTGAAATACTCACAGGAACGGAAGAAAAATGGATTAACAAATGTACAGTTATCTATTACATATGGAGTTAGAGGAGGAACAAGTGAAAGAGACAATGATAAAATAGACAAGGAATTTTGGATACACAATTGAATTAGATAGATGGCAGCAACTATGGGAAAGAAACTATAAATTGACAATGGTGACTGCGTATAAAGAAAATATGTATAAAATGTTTTACAGATGGCACATGTCTCTAGAAAGATTAGCTAAAATGTTTAAGGACAGGTCTATGAAATGTTGGAAATGTCACCAGATACCAGGTTCCTTCTACCATATGTGGTGGACGTGTGTAGAAGCTAAAACATATTGGAATATAATTAGAACATGGATAGAAACGATGATACAACAACGTATAGAACTAAGACCAGAAACATTCCTGTTGGGTATTCTACCAGGGAAATACAATAAAGAGAAAACATATTTAATTATTCATATAATTACGGCAGCCAGGATTGTGTTTGCACAAAATTGGAAAGCACTGAAAGCCCCCCCCCCCCTCCGAGGGAGAGGTGATTGGGAAAATACTGGAATGTGCAGAAATGAATAGACTAACAATGACAATTAAAGATAAGACAGAGTCAGACTACTATGAAATCTGGAGAACTTTTTATGATTGGCTGAAAAGAGAATACGGTTAAAAGATAGTTAGATGGAAGAAGAAGGAGCAGATAAGGAGGGAGACCCAGGTGACACAGTATTGAATAACTGGAGGTTGTACAAATATTTATAGCAGTATATACCAAGAAGGTTACAATTGTTAAATTCTTAAGCTAGTTCAAAATTACTTATTGGTTTTGCTGCCTGCAAGCAGTAAACTAACATAGTTATTCATTTGGGAAGATTTATTGCCAAAAGATTTCTATCATGTTATTCAATTATCTTTACTCACTGATGGCAATAAACTCTGTACATTCATTTTGTGTTGTACAAAAACAAAAGTTGCTTTTCCTTATCTATGCTTTGGATTTTTGCAGATATGGGGAAAAAAATCTGGACATGATGTTTGAAGAAAACACCACCACAGTCGTCAAGAACTTCATATTTGTAGGTTTAACAAGAATTCCTAAAATGCAGATCATCCTCTTTTTAATATTCTTTCTCATTTATGTAACTACTTTGATTGAAAATCTAGGAATAGTTGCTTTAATAGGAACCAGTGCCTGTCTCCATACCCCTATGTATTTCTTTCTCAGCAGCTTATCCATTCTGGATGCATGCTTCTCTTCTGTGTTTGCTCCAAAGATGTTAGTGAACTTTTTGGCAGATAAAAACTCAATTTCCTATACTGAATGTGCAATACAGATGTACTTTTTTATAGGTCTAGGGAGTGCAGAGTGCTTTCTCCTTGCTGCAATGGCTTATGACCGGTATGTAGCTATCTGCAAACCCTTGCTGTATCCTGTCCTCATGTCTCCCAAGGTCTGTATTCTTCTGGTGGCAAGTTCCTATGTTTTTGGTCTTTTTCATTCTCTTATACATACTATTTTTACTTTCCAACTCTCATTTTATGGTTCAGTTATCAATCACTTTTTTTGTGACATCACTGCACTGCTATCACTTTCGTGTTCTGATACTTACATCAATGAACTTCTGATCTTTTATGTAGCTGGGCTTGTAGAAATAACCACCATCCTGAGTGTAGCAATTTCTTATGTATACATTCTCACCAACATTGTAATAGGAATTCACTCTGCCACAGGCAGGATCAAAGCTTTCTCCACTTGCACTTCACACCTCACTGTAGTCACCATCTTCCATGGGGCAGTCCTTATTTTACACTTCCAACCAAAATCTAGCAACAGATCACCTCATCAAGATATGAGTGACAAAATTCTTGCTGTTTTCTGCACAATTGTTATCCCCTTACTGAACCCTTTGATTTATAGCCTTAGAAACAAAGAGGTCAAGGATGCCTTAAGAAGTTCTTGGAGAAGAACCTGGGTCAAAATAACTAGATTTTTTTTGTTTAAAAAAAGCAACAGCTTTCCTAATTTAGAAGAGCCATGGTTTTGTAGTTAATCTGTAATTTTTTTTCTGAAATATAAAAGTGGAATGTTCTTTGCTATAAATGATTCACTGTATTCTCAACTATTCTTCTTTCCGTGTACTTGATGACAAAGTGTTAGGCTCTCCTCTGAAGATCTCTTTTCTCTCTAGGCACAAGGCCAAGAGATCATGGGTTCATGTTTAGCAATAGCATGTAGACTTATATACCACTTCACAGTGCTTTACAGCCTTCTCTGTGTGGTTTATAGAGTCAGCATATTGCTCCCAACTATCTGGGCCCCTCATTTTACTGACCTCCAAAGGATGGAAGGCTGTGTCAACCTTGAGCCAGTCAGGATCAAACTCCTGGCAGTGGGAAAAGTCAACCTACAATATTGCATTCTAACCACTGTGCCACCAAGTTTATGAGTGTTTTATAGTTAATTGTCTAATTGCTAATATAAAATAAAAATGATTTTTATGGATTTGTTATTTTGATATTTTTAGTCCTATGCAGAGTCATTTGATTAGGAGGGAGCCTTAAAAATCAATCTATGTATATCTTCACTCTGAGCTGTGAAATCAATTGGTGGATCCTCTAACATTCTTCATGCATTTCCATTCTACGTGACACATGTTGTCAACTGTCCCATTTGGCACATCCAAGAAAAGAAACTCCTGACACCTAGGAATTACCAAGAGTAAAGCTTTATGGAAAAGTCCATTTAGGCACAGCTTAAGCAAAGTCAACTCTGAGGTTTTTCTGTGAAAACCCACATGGGTAAAACCCCCTTTTCACCTCTGAGCTGCCCACAGTTCAATGTCCACCAATTACACTCAATGCTTTTATTTTGGGAAAACATTCTACTCTAGGTGGTAGCTCTGAGAACTTGGCCTTGGTGGGTATCTCCTCTCTGGCAGCAGAAGGCTCTCATGCATTCCTTAGCCTCCCCCCACCCTAGGAATTTACCAACACCTCCCCCTCCCCCCCCCGCCCATTTCTGTTTGACAAACTGCAAGCTGGAAGTTGATGCAGGCAATGAAGAAAGCAAGTCAGCTTTGGCAGGTGTGCTCCTTGTAGATTTTTCCTAGGAATACATTTTTGGAAAGGGGGAAATAAAAATATCTTTTCTTCTTGGGCTTTAAAACCACCTAATTCTAAATGGGGTGATAAAGATATCCTTGTTAGTGTTCTGTGATGTGAGAATTTTGTTGTTTTGTCATGATGGGGCTGGATAAACTATGAAACATGTAAATAGAAGATAATTGAGGGCTTGTTTCTCATTTATCATCCAATGAATGAGCAGAAAATTTGATCTAGTTTCTTACCTTCTCCCTACTGCTCAAATTGTAACTCTTTGGGTTTGTATAACCGTAATACTAAGTTCAGCTATCAAGCCATTTCTGAAGTTGAATTTGCAGTATAGCCCCATTAGATTACTGAACTCGAGGAACTGAACACAACCTCGTCTTGCTTTATTAGGCTCTGGAAGCAGCATCCCCCTAGGTCACAGGTCAGCAACCCACAGCTCTGGAGCAGCATCTGGCTCTTTGAGCCTTCTCCTGCGGCTCCTAGCTTCCTCTGCCATTTGCAGAAAGAGATAGAGACAGAGAGAGGCACTTGCACTCTCTCTCTCTCTCTCTCTCTCTCTCTCTCTCTCTCTCTCTCTCTCTCTCTCTGCTCCCCGCTGTCAAGGAAAGTATTTTTCTCAATACTTTTCTGTGAGATAGGTTAGGCTAAAAAATATGGACTGCTCTAAAGTCAAGTTTCCACAGCTCATGGCAGATTAGTACCTGTGTCTTATGCAAAAGAGAATCTTCTAGGTGTCAGTACAAGGCTCTCCTTCCTCTCCTTTTACTTGGTTTCCCCTATGGGCTTTCCAGTAGCTGGATTAGCTGGAGGACACCAGCATTCCAGCTACAAAGGAAGAACACATTCTGGTAGGTATATGTGAAGGAGCTGAACACCTGCTGTGATGTGCTGCAAAGCTGGAAAAGGCAGAAAGTGTGAACCATTTGTATTCCTGGGAAGATCATCATCGCTCTAAGGTAGTGTAACAGACTCTTAGAAATCGAGCAAAGCAATTCTCCAGCTCAACTCACAACTGGGGTAAATTAAATGTAGTTACTCAGAATCTCTTTCTGTTGTTTCCCCAGTGGACTCAAGAATCCTTTTGTAGCAGACCTGTTTCCCATTACATATACATTATATATAGTCCTCGACGTACGACCACAACTGAGCCCAAAATTTCTGTTGCTAAGGGAGACATTTGTTAAGTGAGTTTTGCCCCATTTTACAACCTTTCTTGTCACAATTGTTAAGTGAATCACTACAGTTGTTAAGTTAGTAATATGGTTGTTAAGTGAATCTGGCTTTCTCATTGACTTTGCTTGTCAGAAGGTCGTAAAAGATGATTACATGACCCCAGGTATACTGCAACTGTCATAAACATGAGTCGCTTGTGAAGGTCTGAATTTTGATCCCGGGACGATGGGGATGCTGCAATGATGATAAGTGTGAGAAACCATCATAAGTCACAAATTATAACGAATGGTTGTATGTTGAAGACTACCTGTATTATATATATGTGAAACACAAACACACAGAGACATAAATATTTAATATATAAATGTTTAATATTAATATTAAATATAATAATTATATTGCATCATATTTAATATTACATATATAGCATACATAATATATATTAAAATTAAATATAATAATATACACAATATATATTAAAGTTTTTTCTTAATATAACAGTCAGAAATAATTGCTTTTTGTTTCTTTTTATTCCCCCCCCCCTTTATTCCCTCTATACTCTTTCCTATCCCATTTTTCCATTGTCTGTTTTCCCCCTTAACTATCTTGCTCTCTCCCCTGTGTTCTCATAGTCTGATGGGCATTCTGCCAGGTGTATATTGAATTATCCATAGATGGTACCACAATCAGCCCAGAAATGAACAAGTTATGATAGAAGTGTGTAGTGGGGTGTCCCAGGGCTCTGTTCTAGGCCCAGTGCTCTTCAACATCTTCATCAACGATCTGGACAAGGGGATAGATGGGGAACTCATCAAATTTGCAGACAACACCAAGCTGGCAGGAATAGCCAACACTCCAGAAGACAGGCTTAGGATACAGGAGGATCTGGACAGACTTGAACACTGGGCGCTATCTAACAAAATGAAATTCAATGGTGAAAAAAGTAAGGTTCTACATTTAGGCAAGAAAAAACAAATGTACAGGTATAGTATAGGGAGTACCTTGCTCAATAGTAGAAACTGTGAGAGGGATCTCGGAGTCCTAGTGGACAATCATTTAAATGTGAGCCAGCAGTGTGCTGCAGCTGCCAAAAAAGCCAACCCAATGCTAGGCTGCATTAACAGAGGGATAGAATCAAGATCACATGAAGTATTAATACCACTTTACAATGCCTTGGTAAGGCCACACTTGGAATACTGCATCCAGTTTTACTCACTATGATGTAAAAAAGATGTTGAGACTCTAGAAAGAGTACAGAGAAGAGCATCAAAGATGATTAGGGGACTGGAGGCTAAAACATATAAGGAATGGTTGCTGGAATTGGGTATGTCTAGTTTAACTAAGAGAAGGACGAGGGGGGACATGATAGCAGTGTTCCAATATCTCAGGGGCTGCCAGAAAGAAGAGGGAATCAAGCTATTTTCCAAAGCACCTGAAGGCAGGACAAGAAGCAATGGGTGGAAACTAACCAAAAAGAGAAGCAACCTAGAACTAAGGAGAAATTTCCTGACAGTTAGAACAATTAATCAGTGGAACAACCTGTCTCCAGAAGCGGTGAATGCTCCAACGCTGGAAGTTTTTAAGAAGAAACTGGACAGCCGTTTGTCCGAAATGGTATAGGGTTTCCTGCCTGAGCAGGGGGTTGGACTAGATGACCTCCAAGGTCCCTTCCAACTTTATCATTATCATTATTATTATTATTATTATCTACATTGACCTTCTTACCAGGCTTGAACTGCATGGACACCAAAAACTTCATTGTAAACATTTCTTTGTTTCAATAATTTATAAGGCCACTCCGTTCATTCTATTAACTCTGAGTGTTATACAACAAAAATAAAAAAATAAGAAAAAAATGATAAATTATTAAAAGATAGCAGGGTTCTTGGGGGAAATAAGAGAAGGAAAGATTATTATATATGTTTTCTACCTTGAATTATTTATAAAAATAATAAAGGTGGGATAAAATAAATAAAATTATCACACACACACACACACACACACACATATATATATATAAAGGTGGGATAAAATAAATAAAATTATCATATATATATATTCTGTGTTTTTTCTTTCCTCACATAGAACTGATTGCTTAACTAAACTCTAGTTTAGCTTAAGTAGTCTAAGACACTTTTAAGTCTGAAGAATATCACAGCCTCTCTAGAGACTGTGAAGGATGCTAAGATGTTCTCCAAGCACCCAGAACCTGGAGAGATGAGGTTTGTCCTGTGGGGAAAGACACTTCTGCTTGGATATGCATATAAACCAGACCTTTTATGACACCAGTTCATATATTTGATAGGGAGCTTCAGGGTAAGAATGTTTTTGCGTTGGGAAATGATGTAATGGTGTGATGGCTGTCTCCCTCACTGGCCTTAACTCTTCTATGGACCTTGAATTCTGGAATTGTTTTGACCCTCTGAGGTTCTTGGCAGTCTGCTCATCCCTGTGTCCATTGATTTTATACACATTTTGTATAGTGATACAGCATCCCTATTGTTGAGGCTTAGGGTATTTCTAAGAAAAGCCTTTGTTCTGAAGAGCTTTGAAAGGAGAAGAGATGATGCTTCCCAGTGGCTCAGTCATCTAACAAGCAGGGTTCTGTATAGTGAATTCAAAATGGCAGAGTAGGAATTCTGTCTATAAAAAAGAGCCTGCCAGGAGCTAGAGCTAAACTAAACTTGGATTTCATATGGACTGTGCAGGGGCTTCTTTTCTGTTTATTCTACAAAAAGCTAACAGTGGCCCAAATCAGACCGGGATCCCCAGGAGTCTCCATTCTCATTAAAATGATCAGGTATTTAATTTTCTGGAATATGTATTACACTGTTTCTCAGATTAAATCAATACTTCATTTAATCCCTTGCATTACCGAAAGTCTCATCTCTATTAATTTTAGGAAGTGGAGAGAAAAGAGAACATTACAAAGGTAATATTTATGAATGAATTTTTAATAGCCCCAACAGTAGCATTTAAATGCCTATTACGACACGTGTTTATTAAATAAACTAAATAGCTTGATCATGTAGATTGAATTGTAAAAATGTGGAGAAAGTTTTGAACTTGAATTCAGAGACAAATAATTGGAAGGGCTAAATTAATTCCTTCCTTCCTTCCTTCCTTCCTTCCTTCCTTCCTTCCTTCCTTCCTTCCTTCCTTCCTTCCTTCCTTCTTTCCTGTTTAAAAACACAATTATATTCATACAGTTGAATAATTAATGATATATGAAAAGTAACAATGAATTTCCCACTATGGGTATTTTTTTTTCACTGTCCCCAGTATATTTAAAAATCTGCTTCCAAACATATATTTAGTTTAAACATGTATCTGGTCAAACTACGTCTTCCAACTAAGCTTACATAAACTCTCCATCTACTCCAATCTTTGCATGTTTTGATGCAAAGCCTTATGCCTTTTGCATGTTTTGACTATTGTTCCCACTACCCACAACCATCCTACCAATGTAAGTGGTGGAAAGGTAGAAAATATATCCCAGCATATTGGGCAGCAAGAAAATGAGGCAGAAAAGTTTAAGTTTCACTTGCTGTTTGGAAGAATGTTTTTGGTGAACTCAAAAAGAGATCTCAATTTGTTGTGACTTTTTCCATCTAATTTTCTAAATAGACTCTTAAGAAGAATGCAAGTTACATTTTGAGTAAAATTCATTCTATATTCTTCATAAATTTCCTTGCACTTCTATATAACTCAAACTCGTGGTCATCCATAGATTTGGAATCCACAAATTCTCTGAATCACTCATATGAATTATTCAAAAATGTTTGCTTTTCTTCATCTTCCACATTTTTTTTTTTTTTTTTACCTTGCAGGTCTGGAAGGAAAATGACAGAGGAAAACAGCACCACAAAAATCAATGATTTTGTCTTTATAAATTTCACAAACAAGCCTGTCTTGAAGATCACTCTATTTTTAGTGTTCCTGATCTTTTATATGGCTACATTGGTGGGCAATATAGGAATGATTGCTTTAATAAGGGCCAGCCCCCAACTTCACACTCCAATGTACTTCTTTCTCAGCAACCTGTCCTTTATAGATTCATTATTCTCCTCTGTGGTTGCCTGTAAGTCTTTGGCAAATCTTCTGGAAGATAAAAAATCCATTTCCTTTATTGGGTGTGCTATGCAGATGTACTTTGTCATAGGCCTGGGAAGTGCAGAGTGCTTTCTCCTTGCTGCAATGGCCTATGACCGATACGTGGCTATCTGCAAACCCTTGTTGTACCCACTCCTCATGTCACCCAGAGTCTGCATTCTTCTGATGGCAAGTTCCTATCTCCTGGGCTTTTTGCATTCCCTTCTCCATACTGTTTTCACTTTCACATTGTCCTTCTGTCAATCTGAGATCAACCATGTATATTGTGACATCACAGCCCTTCTATTGCTCTCCTGTACTGACACTCGCCTAAATGAACTTCTGATTTTTTATGTGGCTGGACTTGTAGAAGCAACTACCGTGCTAAGTGTTTTTGTTTCATATATGTATATTCTTGCCAACATTGTGAGGATCAGCTCAGCTTCAGGCAGGTTGAAAGCCTTCTCCACTTGCACTTCGCACCTAATTGCAGTTACCATCTTCCACGGAGCAATCCTTATTTTACATTTCCGACCAAAATCAAGTAGTAGATCTCCCATCCAAGATGTGAGTGACAAAATTCTTGCCATCTTCTACACTATTATCATTCCGTTGCTGAACCCTTTGATTTACAGTCTGAGAAACAAGGAGGTGAAGGATGCCTTCAGATGCTCTTGGAAAAGAGCATGGACACAATAAATACATATCTTTTTTTAAAAAAACCAACAGCTTTATTTATTCATCAGATTTTTATCCCACTTTTATTATTTTATAAGTAATTCAAGGTGGTGAATATACATCCCTCCTCTTTTGCCCACAACTATCTTATGAGGGACAATAAGTGGCCAAAAGTCAACCAGTGGGCTTTCAGGCCTAAGGTGGGACTGGCACTCAGAGTCTCCTGATTTCTAGGCCAGCATCCTAACCACTACACCAAACTGGCTTTTTCCTGATTTTTTGGGGAGGGGGAAGGCATTCTGTTGTAATTAAACTATAAGCAATTTCCCCCCAAATAAAGAAATAAATGTTCTCAATACCTTTCTGTGAGGTAGGTTGGGCTGAAAGACCCTGTCTGCTCTGAAGTCACATACTGAGCTTCTGTACCTCATGGAAGATTTGCACCTAGGTTTTTTTGAGAAAGAAAGTCTTCCAGGGGTCAGTACAAGGTTCCTGTTCCTCTCCTTTTAGATTCCCCCCCCCTCTTAGATTTCCAATAATTAGATTAGCTGAACCACAGCAGCATTTCAGCTACAAAGGGATAATACCTTCTGGTGGGTGTATGTGTATCAAGAGAAGAAACTGTATTTGTGTGTTGGAGAGCAAGAAAAATGAAGGCTGCAAGCATGAGAAAAGGAAAGTAACAGCAAGACAAAGGTAACTTGGTGAGATGATTGGAGCCAGGGTGCAAAATGCAATGGGTGATTGAAGGCAGGAAAAAGTGGAGCAGAGGCAGCAGAGTTTGCTGGCCATGCCAATCACAACAACCTTTGGCCCCTCCCACCAAAGACTGAGTGATTGAGAAAAAAGGGAATCCCAGCAGCTTCATCTCAGATTTGAGATGTTGAAGGAAAAGTCTTCATTAAGGTTCAGTCCAAGCCAGGAATAAACAACATGGTGACTGCTTTCAAAGGAAGGTTGCAGTTTATTGAAGAGAAGAGCCAGACAGAAAGATGGCTCTGGAAGAAAAGAGAGAGAGCACATGTAGGAAGTGGTTTTTTATACCCTCTGGGGCTCTTGAAGTTGTTTCCTGTTCCTGTTTGAGGCTTTGTATTTCCTGTGTCATGTACTTTGAACTGAGTCTGAGTGTGCCCCTTTGGCATTTGTGGGTTAATCCTATTATGTCCTGTCTTAGAGTTTGGGTGGGGTATGTAGATTTTAGGTGTCTTTGTCTTCCTAAGCTTCTAGCTGGAGGGCTCCAACCTTCTTGAATGAATTATTTACATCTGCATTTCTACAGAGCTGGTTTCTGCTTGGGGGAGGGAGACTTGGGGCTATTAAGAAAAATTGGGCATGCTTTTCTGCCTCTTTAACATCCTTTGAGGAAATATAATATTCTGTCCTTTTAACATTTCCTTCTCTGGGGGGGCTGACTTCCCACAGAGGCAATCCATATTTGGCTGAAAAACCTCAAAATGTCAACCAAACCTAGGTTTTAGTAAAATAAAATGAAATGAAATGGTATTATTTAATGTTTTATTGCAAATAATAGCTTATATCAATATCAGTTATTTATGGTATGATAAAGCAAACATGAGTATATGAAATAGATGTAAATTTAGGCTAAGTTGGAAAATACATTTGAAGCTTCAGCACAAGAAGCATATTACAGAAGATAATTGATAACTAAACACAAATGGTTAATTTTTGGTGACATATTAGAATTTTCTCAAGGAGAATGCAAAATGATGTGAAAAGAAGATTTGGCCTAGAAGAACATACTTGTTAGTGGTTTTCCTATGTACTAGAGAAATTTAATGAAGATAAAAGAATTTTTAGTTTTGAATATTGAAAGATTGAATATGAAACAGAACTGTGCACAAATGATGAACATGTTATTGTGATTTTTACTGAAATAACAGTGCAAATAAACAAGGAACAGACAACAAACAAGGGTCAGTATGTTTGATAAAATGGGCTGAAATTGGTTACAATATACAAAGGGAATAATGGGAGATTGTTCTGGATGTAATGTGAAGAAATTTCCAAGTTTTGTTACAACCTTAAAGATAATTTTTATAAAAAGATGTATTGTAAAATTTATAAAGGTATTTCAAATTTAGACTGGAAATGTAAACAACAAGAGGGAGTTTCTACCATACTTATTAGATGCTTAAAAATGGATTCAGTTACATACATTGATTTAGAAAATTTTACAGATTCATATACAATTGAAGCCAGAAGTAGTTCTTTTGGATAGTGAGAAAAAGCAATGGAATTTTGTTTTCATATATGATAACTGCAGTGAGAATATTTATTAAATGTTTTCTAGTTCTTTTTTACTTTTATTATATCATAAGCTACCCAGAGCAGCTGCATCAGTGAGATGCATGGCATAGAGAAAGAAAGAAAGAAAGAAAGAAAGAAAGAAAGGAAGGAAGGAAGGAAGGAAGGAAGGAAGGAAGGAAGGAAGGAAGGAAGGAAGGAAGGAAGGAAGGAAGGAGAGTTGCACAATGGTGGAAAGATTTGACATTACTCACAATGGAGGAATAGAGGGTGAAGATTATGGAACTAGCTGACATGGCTAAATTGAAAGCTGTGATTAAAGGAAATATGCTAACTAGGTTTATGCTGACTGGAACTGCTGTGTCCTGAGCCTGCAAGAGCTGAAAGCAGGCTCAGAATTGTTGCAAATGGTCCCGGGCAATCCAAAAGCTGCCCATGACCAGACAGGATGACGCCAACCTTGTGCGCATGCGCAAGGCATGAAAATGGTCAATTCCTATTGGTTCACACTGTCTGGGTTTCAGGCCCTATAAAAGGCCTGCATGCCTTTTGCTGTTTGCTTGGTTGTAGGAGAAGAGTAATAAAGAGCTTGTTGTTTTCACCATGTGTCTTTGTCAATTGCCAACTAACGGAAAACACAACACTGGCGACGAAGGTGGGATCCCTGCAAGCAAGAAAAAGAACTAGGACTCACCCAGAAGTCCAGATGATTGGGAAGACAGCATCCTGCATTCGTGACTCATCCTGCCAGTACAGCGTCACTGGAGGTGAACTCGGCAAAGGGACCCTTTCCCAACTATTAGCTTGCAGAGGAGGCAATTAGCGAAGGCCGTAAAGCTTATGATGTCGAAGATTGGCCGCTTGACTGATTTTGATGTCTCCCACCCAGAGAGATGGAATTCATACATAGCAAGGGTGGAGAACTACTTTAGAGTAAATCAAATCAGAGAAGACGGCCTGAAGGCAGCAACTCTTCTGTGTGCCTGTGGACAGGAAGCTTTTGACATCACGGAAAATCTGGTGGCCCCTGCACTTGTAGAGTCAGTAACGTACGCTGACTTGAAGAAGATGCTGAAGGAACATTTTCAGCCTAAATTATCTGTCATCACTAGGAGGCACACGTTCGAGCAGAGAGACCATAGGCCGGGTGAATCTGCTGCGGACTTTATTGCTGCTTTAAGACAAGCGGCCAGGCCTTGTGAGTTCAAGGATCTGGAAGAGAGGCTGCGCGATCACTTTGTGTGTGGCTTAAGAAGTAGAGACCTACAACAGAAGATCTTTGTGAAAGAAAAGGTCTCATTCCAAGACGTGTTAAGAGAGGTGGCAGCTGAGGAAGCAGCAGGCAGTGCTGTGAAGGCTTTGCAGCTCACCCGGAACCCTCTAGCTGCTGCTACCATCTATCAAGAGGATGCTCAAGAAGAATCAGAAGCGGATCCTGAAGAGGAGGTGGACAGACTTCACCAGCCAGCTGAAAGAAGGCCAAAGGGACGTCCGGGCAAGGCCCCAGCATCTCTTCAGTGCTTCGGGTGCGGAGGACGCTACAAGTGAGCAGATTTCGCTCCGCCATTTGCCGGGCATGTGGCAGGCAAGGCCACATTGCCTCTGTCTGTCTGAGTCACCAGAAGGTCCACCCTAGGGAAGAATTGCTTCAGAAAGGTACCAGGGTCCCCAGCCAACACAGGGTGGGTTTCTGCGCATCGCGCAGGAGTATTCTGAGGACAGGGACACACAAGTCCCTTAAGAAAAAACTTTGCATTAATGTGAAGTTGCAAGGGGTTCCCTTATTGATGGAGCTGGACACAGTGTCCGCTCTATCAATCATTTCACTTGACACCTTCGAAAGGATTTGCAGCAGTAGTGGCCTTCGAGTTAAACTCAGGCCATTGAATCTAATACTCACTGATTTTCAAAATTCCAAGGTCAGTGTAAAGAGGGAGGCCATGCTCAAAGTGCAGCGTAAGGATTTTGAGGGTTTCCTAGATGTGGTGGTTGTTGGGGGTGAATGCACGAGTCTTATTGGACACGATTGGTTCGAGGCCCTGGGAATCTAAGTGACTGGGCTGCACAACTTGCAAACATTGGGCCTTGCAGAAGTCTGCAAGGAGTTTGCTGATGTGTTTAGTTCAGAGCTAGGATCCTACAAGGGACCTCCCATTGCATTACGTTTAGACCCAACTATCACGCCCATCAGGGTCAAGCCTAGAAGGGTGCCTTTTGCCCTCAAAAGCAAGATAGGTGCAGAGTTGGACAAATTGCTCTAGCAGGCCATCTTAGAACCCGTGGACTCTAGTCCATGGGAAACCCCCATAGTAACACCTCTAAAGGCTAATGGGGAAGTCTGCATATGTGCAGACTATAAGTGCACACTGAATAAAGTGTTGCAACAGCATGCATATCCAGTGCCTGTTGTAAGCCACATTCTGGCTTCCCTCAAAGGAGGGTGCATTTTTGCGAAACTTGATCTGGCACAGGCCTATCAACAACTACCTGTTGATGAGGCATCTGCAGAGGTCCAGATGATTGTAACACACAGGGGGTGGTTTAAGTTCAAGAGACTGCAATTTGGGGTAAATGTAGCCCCTGGCATATTCCAAAGTGTCATGGAACGCATACTTCATGGTATTCCTGGGATCTGTCCCTACTTCGATGATGGGGAGTCATCTCAAAATTTAGCAGAAAGATTAAGGGCTGTCTTGCTGCATTTCTGCAAAGCAGGCCTTAAATTGAAGCAGGATAAATGCAAGATAGGAGTCATT